ATAAACTCTCACTTAAACCTAGAAAAAGAAGGAATTATTCAGTTCAGTTTGTGCTCATTTCACTCTATTACTCATAAACCTATTACTTACTTTAACTTACCTACATATGTAATATTTTTTTTTTTTTTGGTTGGCGCTACAGACCATGAATATCTTTGACTGCAAGTGTGGATTCCTAGACCACATCCCTATTCCCGATTTAAAGTACGGGGTAGGGTCATCAATCCTACGCCCGGTCAGTGTGAATTGCTACCAGTAGGCTGACGGTCCTCACATACTCGGGAAGAAGGAAGAATCTCAGGCAGTGTGGCTTACCTTGGTGGATGGTCACCCATCCAAGTGTTAGCCATGCTGGGCGTTGCTTAACTTTGATTACCTATTGCAAGCGCCTTAGGCTATCCCAGCCCTACATACATATGTAATATATGGTAAGGAAAAGTATTGCGATCGTGAAAATTTTCGAATCTGAATTTTCAACGAAAATACATGTTTTGAGGTCCCCTGAATCCTGAGTCGCACAAAATGGTCTGTTTGTGAGAACAGCCAAGCTCAAAAACAAAAAGTATGAAATTGAAATTGTGTATTTGCATATGGCTCGGATGTGACAGCAACTTTTTCATTAAAATTTGCTAACCGGAAATGCCAGTTTATATCACATCGATTTAATTTAAACATTTTTACGATTTTCTAGAAAACGGCTTAAAAGATTTTGATTAAATTCATTACATCAGTGCAAAATTAAACGTTTTTTAATGAAGATCTTATTCTCATTGATGTTCTCTATCAGAGCTCAAATGCCTAATTTTTAAACTTCCTTCCTTTAAAGTACCTTAAATTTTTTTTTATTTGAAACGGTTAATCATTTCACATAAGAACTTGATATAAAAAAATACATAAATATGAAAGAATTTTACAATTATCTAAAGGAGAAGTCACCTAATATAATAGAGAACCGATGAAACCCGAGCTACTGCCAAGCTTGGCCGAAAATTTGGTATGACCTTCTATACATCTTGTTCGGTTTTTATAAATCAGGTTTCCAAGCAGGGCTTCCAAATTGTACCATAGTTTTGATTTGTTATTTTTTTGTGTTTCAGGGGTTGATCCTTGAACATATCTTGTACGGTTTTTATAAATGAGGTTTCATAAAAAGTTGATATTATTTAATATTTAACTATATAGATTTTAGAAATATAAAAATTAAAATGTATATGTATTTACAAATGCTTAAACAATAAAAATACATACAATGAAGTATGTATATATTTAGTGGCCTTCATTATCAGAGGCACTCATGTCGGACTAAAAATATTTCGTGGCAGTTTATTATTTCTTATAATCAAATAAATTATTAAAATATACAATGATTAACAAAAGAAATATAAGTATAATACATTATACGGCTGTGAAAAGCATATGGTAATTATATTTCAAAAAAATATTTTGTACCGTCTGATTTTTAGTTTCTCTTCCTTTTGTCTGAAAATACCTATTTCTCATGAAAGAAGTTTTGTGATGCGCACAGCGCACCAGATTTTTTTTTCACTAATCGTTTTTAGTACTATGTATAAACCTTTATTAAAAGTTCTTTGGAGTATTAAAGAATGTTTGCATGTCCTACAGCAGTAGAGCTTTCAACAGCTGTTGCTGCTTTAAAAGGAGGTGATAACCAGAGAAATTTGGCAAATTTAATTTACAAAGTGTGATAAGTCATGCATATAGACATTATCAGAATAGTGGTTCCTTTGAATATACAGGTTCCTTTGAAGGTCTACAACACTACAAGACCGATGTGTGATGCGATTCACCTTACAACATAAAGTTCAAAGACAATTCGCTCTGATTCACATATTATGGATTGATCGTACATGGGATATTTGCCTTTTCACAGATGACTCTAAATTTGTAGTGCAAACTGTCCAAGAAGTCTGGGGAGTGATACAATCCTTCCCCGGTCTTGTCTGTTTACTCGTTAAGAGAAGGCTCAATCACAGTGTGCAGTGGTATATTCTCGGGCTCTCGAACATAGTTTGTGGAGCATGACGGAAGTAATTGACCCAATAATTTGTTTTTGAGGATGAAAAAGGTAGACTCGTTAATGCATTCTTTTAAAATCAAGAAATTGGCCGCCTGGATTGATCTGCTTGCCCTCCACAACTAAATCCCATAGAAAATTTATAGGATCAACTTCAAAGACAGATTTTATAACTGAATACCCTTCCACACACTCTTGATGAATTGCACACACACATCATTCTAAAAGAAATGGGAGACGATCCCTCAGGATAGCATAAAAATGTTAATAAGAAGTATGCTCTGAAGGCAGTAATTAATAGGTGAGGTGAATTAACAAGGTACTAAATCAAACAAATTAATTAAGTTCAGCAAAATGTTAAATTTACCTTATAATTTCTGAACACCAAAAAATCAATGTAAACAGTTTTATTTTAGCAAATTTATTTCATTTATTACTTCTAAACATGTAAAAGTAAATTATTTTTTTTTAAATTATTAAATTAAAATTATGATCCTGAAATAGCCTCCCTAATTGAGCCTGATGTAATAAATGGTGCGTTCAAATAAAATTCAAATGCAAGCACATTACCGATTTGGACTCCGACGCAGACCCTGTCCTCCAGTCCATTATTATTCCATCCAGCTTCCTTTTTCAGACATAGTACGTTATCTTAGATTTCACTTAGACCACAGACTAACGTAGAACCCACATACTAGAATTAAAAGACCAACAATATGGTCAACTATACAGGTTGCTGCGTAGAAAATCTGAACTTCCAACTGAAACCAAATTGTTGATCCTTAAGACAATCCTGATATCTATTTGAATCTACAGGCTAGAACTGTGGGGGACAGCGCAATTGTCTAACATCAAAGGCATCCAATCCTTTTAGTTTAAAGTCCTTCGACAAATTGTTTTATAACCAAGAAAACCCTTGATGTTAATATTCAATTTGTCCTCGAAACAATTCCATCCAGATTCTCAAACTGTCATCCAAAAACTTATCCATCATCCTAATCCCTTTCCAGCTCTAACTATCTCCTGGAGCCCTGCTTTTCCCTCCACTGATGGAGGGGCAAGCTTGCCTCGGGATTCCTTTGCCTGATTGTAAATAGTGTATATAGGTATGTATGTGTTCTTTTTTTAAATTTACTAATCTTTAATTTACTTTATTTTATATACTTTTTGATTATTATTTATATGTTATTTTTATGTGAATACAGCGTGAATGTGGTCTTACCGCACTACAACTATTGTCCAATAGAGATAATGTTATATTACTCAATAAATCCAAAAAAACAACTTTGTTTTTTTTAGTTTTATCTGATCTTAATACTATAATGTTGCTGTAAACATTAGGAACCTCTATATGGTTTTGGCAGAACCTTCCTGAGCAAAAACAAAGAACTTACACGTCTTTTTCTTTCATTGTCAATTCAGAATTTACGCTTCATATCATATCCTTCTTTTAAAATCTAAGCTCTTAATGTCTATTAATGGTTAGATCCCTGTCAGTGCTGCACTTACACTAATATATTCATTCATAGTGTTATAATGTTCCCCCATTTTTTATTAATCTCTTCCCTAAAACTGGGGGAACCTTATTTATGGTGGTACCTCTCCCAATGGATACTCCTCTCTAAAGGACATTTTAAAATCTCTCTTGTAGGAAGTATAGTAACGTATATTCTTTCGCAATGGACATAGAAAATCTCTTTAAGAGACATAAACAACCAAATTTTTCTCCCTAAGATAAATTTACTCCTCTGAATAGACAATTACAAAAAGTTTGAAATTAAGACAATTGTTCAATACTGTTGGTCCCAATACATATAATATATATCATAAGGAGCCCTTTTCTCGAATGACTAAATAAGGTCTTTTAAATATTTCTGAGGAAAATAAGGAATGTGAGACAATTCATCTTGTTAACAAAATTTATTTTAATAAGCTGATATCATCATCACCATTTCATTCATCATCACCAGTGGATCCAGGATTTAATTTTTGTGGGTGTATCAGCCTGATATATATTTTTTTTTGTATGTATAATAATAATTACTTTAGAAGAAAAAGAAAGAAACCAACTACCTATATGAAATGGTGTTTAAGTGATTCTTGAAGACCTATTAAACGTGATTGCACAAACAATAATACTTTTAGACATAATTTTTTCATAAGACATGGTTATATTTTCATCATATTTCAGGGCGAAAGCCCCTCGCTCCCTGTAGATCCGCCTGTGTTTACCGTTAGTTTTTTATATTGTAAGTATGTGTTTAGTAAGCTTTTGAAAACTCCTTCGACGCTTCTTATCAGAGGCCTATATTTATACAATTAATAATAATAGTAATAACCGCTTAGGGAACTTTCACGCTTAGCGAAAGTTTGAAGCCAGTATCACCAATTGTTGCCTAAATATTACCAGTCTCTGACCATCGTCTAAACCCAACCCCTCAAGATCAGTCATACCTGCCCCAGCATACTTTTTGTGACGAAAAGTGGATAGAACATTTTGTTAACAGTCGTAAACAGCCTATTAGAGAATAATAATAAACTCTAAAATCATTGTTTGTATAAATAAAATATAAAACTTTAATAATAAATTTCATTTATTCAAAAATTTTGCTTTGATACATGCATTCATTAATGAGTAAGCACTTCTATATCTCTTCTCAGTAAACACCTTTCAGCAACAGACAAATCCGGGCCAACCCATGATTGTCAATTGTAGAGAGGCATTACAGTTAACAATTTTTAGATATTACTTTAGTTTGCAAGAAATGAATTAAATCTTACAATACAATATGACTGAAAATTATGATAATTCATCATTCAAGAAAACTTTCAATGAAAATTCGTTTCCAAGAAATGAAAGATTTTATTTTTATAATTTTTAAGATTGATCACGAAATCAACTGATTATTATTAAGGTAGGTGTTATTTGAATTAAATTTTTTGTTTTTTTATTTGAAATTACAACCTATAAAATATATCTATATATTGATGCATTTATCAATTTATATGATAACATAAATGTTGCACTGATTATAATTCCTTTCGAAAACTGGTGCAAGTAATACAATCTGAAAAATAAAATTCAGTTCAATGACAGTTTAGAGGGTCCAATGTTATTTCAGTTAAAAAAATTGAAGTTATTACCTCATTAATTTTTTCCTATGGTATTCTTCATCTTCTAAATTTTCTTTTAAAAAATATTTCTTCACTCCTTTATGCAATATTAAAATAATTTCTTTCCAATTAAAATCAGAAGGAGGTCTGAGAGGAAATATTTCATCTTCATCCTGTGATAATTTGTTCCACAGAGCTTGATATTTTTCATTATCGAATACAACGTTTTTCGTAGTGAATGCTGTTAATGCTTGTACAGCTTGGTATATTTTTATATTTAATTTAATTAACCTGAAATTTATAAAATAAGCAGACAATAAAAGTTTATGAATAAGTCTAAAAATTTATAACTTAAATATTTCTGAATTGCTCCTTATATGATGACAACATAGTAAATTCTACAAATTTAGTGGTCAGCAAAACTATGACCAAGTTTCTGTTATTTTTCAAACAGTTTAAAAAAAAGAAGATTTAATTGTTCAAAACCTCAGAAAATAAAGTTTGAATACAAAGATTTATGAGAAAAAAAGAAAAAAGAAAAGAGGTATTTTTTTCCCTTCTCATTTACCTCTGGAATTTTTGTTATACATAATTTAAGTACAAATTACTATTTTCTGAATTATATAAACTCCAATGTTATAAAACATTAGTCAATTCGTTTATAATAAATGATTTCTAATATTACTTTGAACTTTTCAATAATTAAAAAACTATTTATTAATAATAAACAATTGATCTAGTTTTATTCCTAATGTAATTATGTTTTAGAAGGTATAATTACATTATACCTACTTAATATATCAACTTTTAAGAGTGGAGAGAGAGAGTCCTCTCCAGTGATTCGATGATTTCAACCAATTTTATTTTATTTTTTTACCTCTCTGCCTCATGTTTTTTGTTGTAGTTACCAGAATTTTTTTATATCTTTATTTTTCATATCTTTCTCAATATTTAATATTTTCCTATAAGAAATATTATTATAAGTTCTTTATTAATCTGAATATTCGGAGCTTAGTTCATTTAGATTATTTCTTTACTTATTTTTACACATATCTGCACATATTCTCTATGTTTCTCTTTATTATTATTTCCATTTATTTCTAGTGTTAAAATTAATTCATTTTTATCAATTGCAAATATTAATTATTTTATATTACTTATTTATTTATTAATCATTATTAATCATCTTGTTTTACTCTGTTCTTCTTGATCATAGGAAACTCAAATTCACTCATTTACGACTGTCTCTTTCCTTTCCAAACTTTCAGTGATGTATATCCTTCTTTATCCTAAATAACTAATATTCTATTAACGTGCGATATTAAGTTCCAATCCGTTCCGACCCACTTTGATAAATTCAAAGATTATTTATTTCCTCCATAATTTTTACCATATTATAGCCGTCTCGGAAACCTGTTTAAAACCAAGTATTTCCTCCTCTCTAGATCCATCCCTAACTACACCCTTATTCGTCATGACCGGATAGACCGGACAGGTGAGGGTGTTGGTCTTTAAGCTCATGAAAGTCCGAGGGCAAAATTCCTCAACAAGTCTCCCTCTTCCGATATTCCCATTTAGAGTATTGTGTACTGTACATCTTTATTGGAAGTGAGTAAAAAGGGTTTAATAAATTAATGTTGAACAATTAAAAGGCAAGCTAATCTAGTTCTAGTAGTTCAGGGAAAAGAAAATAACTGCTCTGTAGTTTTCCCAAAAAGGAAAATCGCAAAGAGGGGATGGAACAAATGTTTTTGTTTTGGCAAGCAGTTGATGTTTGGCTGCAGTGAAGTGGAGAAGTGATACGGCTCCAGTAGGAAAACCCAGTAATAGTATTACCATCTTTGAAGTTGTTGTTTGGCAGAGAGGCTAGTTTTTTGGAAGTACAAGAGAGAGTATCTCCTAGGGAGGTTGAGTAGAGTAGAAGATAGTGTCACCAATTTGGAAGTTGTGTTTGACAGAACCTTGGAAAGCATTTGAAGGCAAATGAATTTAGTGCAACAAAGGAAGAAATAGTATCTATAGAAATAAAGGATAGCTTGCTAATCCATACTTGACTTTATTTTAAAATCATTATTTAATTTTATTATAAATAGTATAAATAATAATAGTCTGATTGTCAGTACCCATATCTGAGATAAATAAATATATTAATACTCTTATAATTTTCTTTATTATTTTAACAACTTCTTATTTCTTTTGGAAATATCTTAACGGTATAAAGCGATCTTCCATGAGGTCATATTATTATTTGTAAAATATAAGAGAGATGTTGCAATTTATTTGTAGAAATTTCCTCAGATTCCTTTTCCTTCTCTACATCTCTACATATAGCCTTCTCCAAGTCCGATTTGTCTTGACTTAGAATATTTCCTTTTTACATATGTATTATAAATCAATAATAGCCGGCAACTTTAATACCAATTTATCCTTTGATTCTCCTGCATACCTTATAGACTAAATCCATTCTCTTTACCTATTTAACGCTTCTGTCCAACCTACTCATCATACCCAATCCTTTCCTCGAATCACTAGCTCAATCCTTAGATCCGAGCTATTCCTAACCCTCCATTCATGAAATGGTGGAGTATCTTTCATCCAATCTTCTTCTATTCCTAAATCAAAACATACACTAAAAGACCTCTATCTTCAAAAGCCCTCCAGCTCCCTGGATTAATCTAGAAATAAGAGAAATGATGAAGAGAAAAGACACTGCAAGGAGGTGTTTTAGACGAACACGTAATCCGGATGAATACATCTCTTTCAAGACTCTTCAAAACCTTACCCGATCTTCCTTGCGACTTGCTAAAGGATAATTCTTTTATATTTTTTTATCACAAGCCTCAGATACTAAATCTAGATGGAAAATCCTTAAAAATCTCTCCGTAGTAAAGCTCCTTCACTAGCATCCAACTTCAGACCCATTTCCATTTTATCCAAACCTCTAGAAAGATTACTTCACTCTCAGTTGAACAACTTTCTTGAGAAAAACTGTCTCCTCAATCCTCTACAATCCGGTTTTTGTTCCCAATACTCCATCCAATCTGCCTTATTAAAGATTACCCAAGACCTCCAATCATCCATAGACAAACAGAAAATCTCCATCCTAGTCCTTTTCGACTTTTCAAAAGCCTTTGACCCCATCAATCATAATATCCTCATTTCCAAACTCCTAAGCCTACCCATATCGAATAGCGTTCTGAAATGGTTCCTCTCTTTTTTATCCCATCGCTCCCAGACAGTTGTTATTCCTGACAAATCTCCTTTCTTGTCTCTTCAATTAACGTTAGGTGTTCCTCAGGGATCCTCACTCTCTCCAACTCTGTTCTCCATTTATATTAGCGACCTTTCTGACTCCATTAGTCATTCCCACTATCACTTATATGAGGACGATCTACAAATCTACTTATCGTTCCAACCATCTGAGATCCCTGAGGCTATCCGAAAACTACAAGTGGATAATGACTGTATCCATAGATGGGAAGAAAAAAAATAAACTAAAGATGAACGCAGACAAAACCAACGCAATCCTAGCACCTCATTAGTTTCCTTTCTTTCTCTCCTTTACTTTACCTCAATAACAGTCCCATCTATTTCTTTCCGATAGTCAAAAACCTTGGAGTGATCTTTGATCAGAACCTCTCTTGGAACAACCACATTTCCCAGATTACCCGTAAATCCATAACTATCCTTAAACAATTCCTTCGATTCCGTGATTCCATTCCAAAAAAACCAGACAGCTCCTTGTAACATCCCTTGTCTTCCCCCACTTCGACTATGGTTGCCTAGTGTACGGAGGACTGTCCACAGAACTGGAGGCGAAACTGAAGAAAATTATGAATTGCTTCATAAGATTCATCTTTGGGATTCCTAAGCGTTCTCATATTTCTTGTTGGTACACCAAGTTGAAGTGGCTATATCCTACTTCCCGACAGAATTCCTTCTTGGTGTTTTTCATTTTCAAGTTCTCAGAAGTAAAAACCCTCCCTACATCTTAGAACTCCTTACTTTACTCCTCTATCCACTCTCTCAATACCAGATCATAACTTATAAATTTATATACCCCCTCCCATAAAACCACTTCCTTCAGTAAATCCTTCGTCATTCGTGCTACCTCCTTACCCATCTCCATACGTCAAACCATAACTTCTTCAAACAATTCCTATTCCACCACCTACTACAAATTCAAACTTTCGCAAGCTTGTAAAAATTTCTGGGTTATATAATTACGTTTGTCTCCAGTAGTTAATTGATAAAAGTCATTTTATTTTTATTTATTATTTTTTTGTATTACTCAGTATTTATTGTATACATCTGTGTTTATTGTTAGTATGTTTTGTAAAAATTTAGATTTTCCTCTGTATTTTTTGTTTTATATATTTGTATTTTACATAGAATCTTTATGTACATATATATATGTGTGTGTGTGTATTTAAAATTTCCTAGGTATTTTTTGTATATATTTGTATGATACTTACATGCCAGACTAAGTACATATTTTTTAAACTCTACTATTATTCTAAGGGGACTTCAGTCCCAGAATAAAATTATATTTCATTTCATTAAAAAAGAAGATGCGTATAATCTATCAAGTTTGAAATGAATAATCTTTATTACTCACCTACAAAATAAAAAAGAAAAACTTAAATTACTATCAAATCAAAAATCAATTTTGGAATATAATACTTAATCACAATACAAATATTGTTAAAATAAGATTCATTCTTCACTAAATTACCTTCTTTTTTTATTTATCAGACATAAAATTGAATCGAGGAATACAGCTGGTATAACTTGAAAGATGTAAAAGAGAAAGTGAAAATAAATATCATTTGTGGCAAAAAACAAGAATGGATACCAAATATCATCATCTAAAGTGCATTCTTTCTTGTTCATTTCTGATCCTAGCTCATATAATGCTTCTAGACTGAATACTGGCAGAAAATTGGAATAAGAACAATTGTAAATTGATAATTCCTTATTCTCTCTGAAAATAATAATTTTAAAATTAGTGAATATTGTTCAATACGGTATTAGTGTATTTTAACCCAAAATTAATTTGAGAATAATAGAGTAACTAAAAGCTATATGTTTACATTCAAACTGACAAATAAATTTGAAAAAGGAAATCATATCAACGACGCCAGGAGAGAGCGCTCAGGATTGTGATGAGGCAACCTTATCTTTACCTGTACCACTACAACCCACCAATTCAGTTTGCTTCAGTACTTTGTGAGGGAGTACTGTTACAAAGCTAACGGTTGTGCAGGGAGGTAATTAGGACAAAATCATGCTCAACCATCAGGTTTTCCCTCTTAATTAATTATTTAATTAAGAGTACTCACTTTATAGAGGCTGGGTGTACTCCAGGGTCAATCCACGGCTGATGAAAAACTACTATTCATCAGGCAGATTCGAAAACCATGGACCATCAGCTCTGGAAGTCAGTGCTTACCCACTAAACTCCCTACTCTCCTCTCTCGATACCATTAGATATTATATATGAAGTATTAACAGACATGGGGTTACATATTTAGTCATTAGTCTCAGATTGTCCTGCAGCTGTTAAACCTGTCCTAAGGGCACCAGAGTAACCTGGATAACTCAGCAGACAGGTCTTAGTCCCAGGAGTAGTAACGCCGCATGTCCTGTAATGGCTCTAATGGAGAGCTAGTGTTGGGGGTTATAGCACAGTCACCCTTTCTTCTGAAGATAAACAAAACTTCAAAAGACTAATTGTCTCGAGGTCATGGAGCCTACGTCGCTGGACTAATGACTCCTATGGTAGTCAATTTTATTCAAAGCAAAAATACTAGCTTCGGATGTGGACAGATCTCTCGGAGACAACCTGATGCTCATAAGGACTTATGATTTGGTACTTGGAACATAAAGACTTATAAGGTGGACTTACTCAGATTTCATAATGTAAGGAAGAATAGAACTGAAGCTAGAGAGCGAATATACCCTTATATATGTTATGTTGGTGTCCCTCAGAGAACGAATCAGGGATTTAGGTATAGTCATGAACTCGAAAATGTTCTGGGTGCCCCCCAACATCAGGGGATCAGCCACTAGGCGGGGATTTTAGTATGTTTACTTTCTAAATAGTCCGAGCTAAGTCCCAAAGCCAAAAATTGTGTTCCTTCCATAATCATTTATTAACTGAAGTAAATGTAATTTTTCTTTTTTTTTTAAATAATTTTAATATGACTTTTAGTTTATTACAAACAAGTTTATGCAGATTGACATTTACGGGGAGAATGGTGCATATACGAGAACAGCTCACAACATTCCTACCGATTCTATCATTTTTCACTATAAAATTTATTTTAACATTAATCGGGAGCTTAAAGTCTAATAATACAGTAAAAATGATACCCGGAAGCTTTCTCCCAACCGCTAGAGATGAGTGCGTTTATCGCGTAATCAACTGGAATATAGTCAAGACAACATTCTTCTTTGCCTTTTAAAACCCTCATGACTCCTTTGCAACAAGCTGTTGTTAATCCAAAGACACCATTCAGGTTATCCGTCCAGCCCGGATTGGGACTTTTGAAGATCCCCACCACTGCAAAATTAATAACTTAATTATTAAATAATCCTTTAAAAAGGAAAATTTCATTATTTTCTTTTGAAATAAAAAATTTCATAAGAATTATTTTAAAGTATTTCATATATATTGTAATGTAAATATTACATAGTGATTTTGAATAGTGGTGCGAAGGCAGTGACGTCACAGGCTACAGTCAAAAAAGGACAAAAACAGAGAAATATAATGAAGAAGTCTCAGCCCAGTCTTCCTCCAGCTGTTGGCCAGAATGAAGTCGTCTGTTTGTTCTGGTAGCCTCTCAGGAAAATATGTCCACAGGAGTCAGACGAGTATAAACTTGTATGGAGACTATTTGAAGTATCATTATCAGTTACATAACAGAATCAGTAACAAGATTATTCAATGCAATATATGAGATCATATTTACCAGAGAGACTGTATCAAGAAACAATAACAATAGTAATTTATGTTTTTTAATTTAATTCGCTTGACATCAAATTTGTTTTTAAATCTTTTTTTTTTTTTAAATTTAATGTACTGATCTTGTTTATTAGATCCTTAATAATTCACAGTCCACGAACCATTTAAACCCTCAGTGCCCACATAAACTATCAAAATATAAAACTTTATAAATCATTATTTTTTAAAATACCAGGACAATATATTACATCTACAATGTCTGCAAGGTTAAATCAGTTTGCAATTAAGATGATAAAAATACTTTTAAATTGAAACATTTATCATTTTCATAAAAATTGGTTTCTTCGAAGACTTTTTCACATCACTGTACTTATAAAAATATATTATTAAGATACATATTAAGGAAAAAGTACTAAAGAATGGATACTTATGAAAGTTATAAAACTTGAAAAAACATAATTTGTTTACTTTCCATTACCTATATCAGGGGCACTGTGTTAAAGTAACGAATGCAAAAATCACATTTTTCAATCTTCTTCATTATTTATAAAAGGAACATGATTCTCTTCCATAGAAAAGATTGTAAGAAGCAAGTATATCTGAGCCAATAGTAAATATCATAAAAGAAATTTATCACAATAATGTCTGTTGTATTAAATTTGTGTCAATGCTTTCGGAAACATTCCAGGCTTCAAAAGAACTTCTGCAGGATTGCAGCCTCTCGCCAAACTTTTCAAAATTTATGAGGACATCACTCCCAGAGAGTGGGGAAGAAAATGTGGAAAGATGAGAATAAGGATCAGAGAAGATGTATACATTGGTTCCAAGCCCCTTCTTAGATCCCACACCAACTTTCCCTCACTCTATCTAAACAACCACCCCATCACCTTCTATCCCTTTGTTAAAAATTTAGGCTTTCTCATAGATCAAACCCTTTCCTGGAATCACTCATCATATCTCATATCACCCGCTGTGCAATTTCTACCCTCAAACTATTCCATCACTTCCCCGCCATCTTCTATCCCAAAATACCCATAGACTCCTAGTTTCCTCTCTCATCGTTCCCCACTTTGACTACAGTTGTGTGGTGTACGATGGCCTCTCGGTGGAACTCCGTAATAAGACTAAAAAGACTTATGAATAGCTTCGTAAGATTTGTAATTGGGACCCCGAGACGCTCCCGTGTCTCCCACCACTACACTGAGTTAGGGTGGCTCTTCCCCTCCTTAAGAAGACAATATTTCCTAGGCACTTTCCTTTATCAAATCATTACCGATCATCGTCCTTCTTATGCCTACAACCTTCTCCAATTTAAGTCATCAATCCATTCCCTCACTACAAGATCTTGACCCTCTGACCTATACATCCCTTCTCATAGATCTGCCTCATTCCAAAACTCCTTTATAGCCCGCTCTGTCAACTTTTGGAATTCCCTCCAGATCAAAATTCGACATGCCCCCTTCCCTATACACATTCAAAAATCTCCTATTCCTATTCCTGTTTCAAAAACAGTCAGATACCAGCTAACTATTAATACTATATATGTATTGTGTAGCAATCATATAATCATAACACTTGGTAAGAGATAGTACATGCATTTCCTACTATCGACGTAGGAATTTCAATACATACATTTTTTTTTTCAATTATAATTAACTGTTTATTTTTATATATATATATATATATATATATATATATATATATATATATATATATATATATATTCAAGTAAAGTTTTTTTTATGAAATGAACTCATTCTGTCTCTTTTTCGTTCTTCATTTCTCAAAGTGTATGTTTATGTTGTTCAACCCTTATAACTAGTTTTGCTCATAGTTCAAGTGATTCGTTCATATTTTTAATCGTTTTGTTCATCGTTTTAAATGCACTTTTTACAGATAACACGCCTTGAAAAAGAAAAGAATTCTCATATTGTATCCCTAGATGTAAACATCTACAAAGATTCTGATTTAAAAAAAAATTAATAATTATTCTTCTAAACCATCCTGTAGTGTCACTAAATGATTATTTAGTTTATAAAATAAAGCCAATAAGTTTTATAAAATTTATTTTAGTTTTTATGCTTTAAATAAAATACTTACCGACTGGAGGTCTTGCAATGACAGTAGGGAATTTACAAGAATATTCTTCGACTATTTTTTCACTCAATGATTTAGAGAATGTATAAGTGTTTGGATGATCCTGTATAATTCTGAAATTCAAAAATAACAATTAATGTAAAGTTAATATTTTGATTATAGATCATGTTAAATAATACAAATTAATTTCAACATTTACTTGTAAGAGATAGTATTCATGACTACAGGATTTTCTGTTTCTATGAGTTTTAGTATTGTCCTCCAATCCTGACATGGCTCATATATCTTTTCTTCAAAACAAGTTTTCATCAAATTGTGGTTGCAATATGCTGTTGAAACATGAACAAAAACCTGGAGAAATATTTTTTTCAAATGGAGACAAAAACTGTTTAAATTGATTAATCAATATAAAATGCTTAACTCACCTCAAGATTTTTAGTTTCAGAGGCTAATTTACACATCTCTAACGTTCCTCTCGTGTTTGAGAGGAAAGCTATGTGAAGTGGATCGTTGAATCGAACTGTTGCAGCTGAATGGAAAATTATGTTCACCGTATTTTTAAGCTCCTTTAAATATAAAAATAAAATAATACAAAAAATGCACTCACACTTTATATTATTTTGTCCTTCAAGTATAAATATTTCATACCTCAATAATTTCTTGACCTAGTCCTAAGTTGATGAGTGACATATCTCCATCCAAAACGGTAACTTTTTGATACAGTATATCAGGTTTGTCAGCCAACACTGTCTCAAATAACTAAAAATTTGAATCTATTATAACCTTTATTGGAAGTGAGTAAAAAGGGTTTAATAAATTAACGTAACAGTTAAAAAGCAAACTAATCTAGTTTCACTAGATTCACTAATATATATTTTATTATCTGCATAAAAATCAAGTTTCAGATTATCGTATTATAAATTCAAATAATTAGGAACAACTTCATGACAGAAAATTAAATAAATTACTTCACAATGCAATAGATCCAAAGAGGAATTGCTGGTTGGCTTGAGGTTGGTTATAAGCTAAAGACTACTATATTAAAATTAATATTTTTTTTTTAAATTAACCATACCGCATCTTTTGCAATTTCATTCCATCTTTCTTGTGGAGTCTTCCCACGTTTTGGTCTTATGATGAGATAAATTCTTTTCACACCAGGACATGTCCTTAACAATTTTTCAGTTAAAACTTTTCCAAAGAAACCTGCTCCTCCAGTTATTAATATTGTCTTATTATTCATCCATTCTCTTATAGTTACCATTTCTTATCGGTTCAAACACTGAAAATATAGAATGATATGCCTTTAGTTAAAACATTAATGTGATTACTTATCGAATAGTTACGAAAAAGCTATGTACTATTATAAATAAAATAAGAGGCTGATGTGATATCAAAAGAAAAACATAATATTTAAAACAGACCTGTAATCTCTCCAATAGAGCAATAAGAAAATATGTACCATCAGAAAATAATAATAATAAATCAATTTTTTAATTGAAACTGATTTTTAAAATTTGAATAAAAAAAAAGTTTGAAATTCTGTATCTAATAGCTTATTTTTTCGTTTATAATATAAATAATTTTCCCTTGTATAGATTTAAAATTTTGCTTGATAGTGGCTTTTGAAGCAAATCTAAGAACATTTTAATTTGTTTTATTAGTCAATATAAAGTGTGTATATCTGCCACTCCCTTTAAGGTTTAATAGCAATTATAAGATTGAACAAAAAAATATAATATTTTTTTAAACAGGATTAGTTTGCTTTACCTGTTGTAGCGAATAGTTGATTACCTCTGGTCTACCTTCATCCACGATTCAAAGGCTATATAAGCAATAATAAGTAAAGAATAAATTAATAATTAGCTATATAAAGCATGTTCATCGATACTTATTATAATATTGAAATGAAGTTTTGTCATTTCCTTAATCATTATTCTGCAATGCAATGCTATTGCATATGCCCACTGGCTCAGTAAAACATACATTGTTAAAACAATGTCTCAATAAAAATTAATTTTAAGAAGAGAATGTAAGTGTTCTTTGCAATTAAGGTTAATTTCAATTATTGTAATCTTTACATATACTCATTTGCAAATTAATTAGATCATTGCAGTAACTGTTTATAAAATTGCAATATTTATCTAATATGACATCTGTTAATTGTTTACACTTATATTGGACTGGACTAATTCCTTTGAAATAAACTCTCACTCCAACATAAAAAAAGAGGGAATTATCTTCAGTTCAGTTTGTTTACAGCTTGTGCTCATTTCACTCTATTACTTGTAAACCCATTACTTACTTTTACGTACCTGCATATGTAATATATAGTAGGGGAAAGTATTGCGAATGTGAAAATTTTCGAATCTGAATTTTCAATGGAAATATATGTTTTGAGATCCCCTGAATCCAAAATAACCAATTCCCGCAAAATAGTCTGTGTGTGAGAACAGCCTGGCTCAAAAATGAAAAGTTGTATGAAACTGAAATAGTGTATGAAAGGTTTGCATATGGCTCGGATGCGACAGCAACTTTGTCATTAAAATTGGCTAACCGGAAGTGCCACAATTCCGCACAGAAGTGTCACATCAATTTTAAACATTTTTACGATTTTCTCAAAAACGGCTTAAACAATTTTGATTAAATTCATTACACCAATACAAAATCAAACATTTTTTAACGAAGGTCATATTCTCATTGATGTTCTCTATCAGAGCTCAAATGCCTAATTTTTAAACTTCCTTCCTTTAAAGTACCTTAATTTTTTTTTATTTGAAGCAATTAATCATTTCACATAAGAACCTGATATATAAAAAAATACATAAATATGAAATATGAAAGAATTTTATAATTATCTAAAGGAGAAGTAACCTAATATAATAGAGAACCGATGAAACCCGAGCGTGCAGCCAAGCTTTGCCGAAAGTTTGGAATGGTCTTCTATACATCTGTTCGATCACGGTAATTTAATGTAAGCCAAATATACCCAATGATCTATAAGCGAATTGTGTGCACAGGTGACTGTGAAAATTGGTATGGACTGTATGAGGTTGGATCACTGAAATTTGATGTTTGATTAAATTAAACAAAATATTGAGAAAATGGTTATATTGCATATAAGTGAATAAAATAAAACAAATGAGATTTGTGCCTTTGTACAATTTTGTGGTTCTTTACAGATTAATTACATATTCTTTGATTGTCAATTTGGGCTCACTTTCTGTCTGAATATGAGCTTCATGGTTTTGGCCACCTCTTCTTTCTCCCCATACTTCCTCCACCAGGCGGTTCTCTTAAAGTTTAGAAACTCATATTGTCTTTTTCAGCCATTTCTTAAGAGAGGACCTTAGTGTGTGCACACTTCACCAAATGAACAGATTAACTCTACAGGAATGGTTTGCAGCAAAATGGTGGTGAAGTTCCAAATTGTACCATTGTTTTGATTTGTTATATTTTTGTGTTTCAGGGATTAATCCCTAAAAAAACCGCCCACCTAAATCAAGTATAGCTGATTTAAGAATTGATTGTCTGAATGTGAACTATTTTGCATAACCAAAAATAAATAAGTAGAAGAAATGTTACAATATTTATAAACCTAAGAAACGGGCACAAATTACTTAGTTCTAGTATGAACAGTAATAAATAAAAATGAACTTATGTTTATGAACTTACATATAACAAGAAGATAAAAAAAGGAAGGTGTGATCCTTTTTGAAAGAAATCTAATGCGAAGAAAAACATTAGAAAATCAAAACTAAAATATGTTCAACTTCAATAAAATAAAATAAAAATTAGTAAATCCTAATTAGTTTTAATGCACTCGAAATCCAAAACTCTTCTTGAGTAAGGACAGTGTCAAATTGGGACTGTATTTAAAGTATCTTTCATGTAGGTCTCTGAAACTAAGAGGTGACAAGTTGCACTTCCTGGGCAAGAGTATTGGGAGGTTAGAATACCAACGGAAGAATGTAGCCTGCCGCCCACCCTGGTGGTGTCCAGTTCGTTAGCAAAAGGAGAGAGCTTCTTTGATTGAATTAAGGTTGAAGTCTGTCTACATTGGCTCTGGACTATTCGAATGTATTTACGTTTGGATGGTTGTGATTCCTTGACGGTGTTGGGACCTGAAGGTATGGATCGTGGAGGATGAACGAGTTTCAGAAGTCCTTGTTCTGAGTTCCGGTATCGTTTGATGACTCGATTCTCGCCAAGTGAAACAGCATCCGAGTGAAGTAGTTGCCTGAATATGTAGTGATCGTCCTGAGTCCTTGTAGTACCTGTGTGGGTGGAGAGAAAATGTTTCTCACATAACCTGTCAAATGGTTCTTGCTTGTTTATTAGTTTGGGCTCTTCATTTTCCAAGCAGGGCTTCCAAATTGTACCATTGTTTTGATTTGTTATTTTTTTGTGTTTCAGGGGTTGATCCTTGAACACATCTTGTACGGTTTTTTAAATGAGGTTTCATAAAAAGTTGATATTATTTAATATTTAACTATATAGATTACAGAAATATAAAAATTAAAATGTATACGTATTTACCAATACTTAAACAATAAAAATACATACAATGAAGTATGTATATATTTAGTGGCCTTCATTATCGGAGGCACTCATGTCAGACTAAAAATATTTCATGGCACTTTATTATTTCTTATAATCAAATAAATTATTAAAATATACAATTATTAGCAAAAAAAATTAAGTATAATATTTAAAAAAAATATTTTGTACGTTCTATGATTTTTAGTTTCTCTTTCTTTTGTCAGAAAATAAATATTTCTCCTGAAAGAAGGGTGGTAAGTGAAAGTTGTGAAATGCGCACACTGCACCAGATTATTTTTACTAATCGTTTTTAGTACTATTTGTTAGTCTTTATTATTAAAAGCTCTTCGGGGTATTAAAGAATGTTTGCATGTTCTACAGCAGTAGAGCTTTCAACAGCTGTTGTTGCTTTAAAAACTGATAACCAGAGAAATTTGGCAAATTTAATTTACAAAGTGTGGTAAGTCATGCATATAGACATAATCAGAATAATGTTTCCTTTGAATAAACACTTTGAGGAAGAAGCCAAAGGTCTACAACACTACAACAAGACCGATATGTTACTGTCCAGGCTTGAAAGAATTGCTTCAACACTTGTTTTCTGCCTCTAATGTGCAAATTAGCCTCCATACAGTTAATGAATGAATGAAAATAATTTTATTATTCTGGGACTAGTGTCCCTTTAGAACAAGTAACAAATACATAATATATATTAATATTTTGGTATGTCCATAAAATACAATTTAATATTTACAGATTGATTAGGAATACAATAAAGTTATAAATAATAAAAAGATATAAAAACGTGTAAATATAAAATATACAGAGAAAGTAATTAAGTAAACGAAATATTGATGAATCACAAAATAATTAGAGTATCTGGACGTACTTTGAGGTTATTACAGCTTAGGTTTTTAAGTGCATTTTGTGATCAATCGGATTGGGAATGGAGTAGGTGTTTGAAGATGAGAGATTTCAAAGAGGATATTGATTTTGCATGTCGGATATCTGAAGGTATAGAGTTCCAGAGGGAGACTACTTGTATTAAAAAGGATTTATCAAATGCAGCAGTTTGGTGAGGAGGAGGATAAAGGTCGGATACACGGGATCTGGTGGGACGGGATTGAAAGGAGCGTTTGAATTGTAGGATCTGTAGAATATAGGCAGGTTGCCGTGTTGTAATGGCTCAGTATAGGAAGGTAGCCAGAAAATATTGATGGCGGTAGGACGGATAGAGCCACTTCAACTTGGTGTAGAACTGGGTAATATGTGTATCCCTTGAGATTCCAAAGATAAAGCGGATTGAACAATTCATTAGACGTTTAAGTTTAGCTTCGAGTTCTCCCGAGAGTCCACCATAAACCATGCAGCCATAGTCGAAATGGGGGAAAACAAGAGAGAAGACCAGGAGTTGACAGGTTTTAAATGGAAGAAGATAACGCAGATGGTTAAACTGTTTCAGGGTGGATATGGTACGGCGGGAAATTTGGGAAATGTGTGGTTTCCAGGAGACTTTGATCGACGGTAACGCCTAGGTTTTTAACGGTGGCATGGAAGGAGATAAGCGAGTTGTTCGGAAGAAGATTAGGAGGTGCTGAAATGGATTTGAGGAGTGAGGGGGATCCGATCAGGATGGCTTTTGTCTTCTCCGTATTTAATGTCAGCTTATTAAGATTTGCCCATGCGCATATTCTATTGATGTCTTGTTGCAGTTCCAGGATG